TTTTTTATTGTTTTGTTCTGTCTCATTGTGTTGAAGTATCTCATTGTTCTGTTGTGTCTCATTGTTTTGCTGTGTCTTATTGTTTTGTATCTTATTGTAGGCCACTGCCACCGGGTATAAACCCATTTGCAGTCAATAATAAATAATAATAATAATAATAATAATAATAATAGCGCTAAGCATATAGCTTTTTACCTGTGCTAACATTTCTCGTAAAATTTGAGCCATGTTAGTTTCAGTGTTATTTGTACTAATTGTCTGTTCTTTCTTACTTTCTGTTACCAATTCTATCGTGTCTGCTTCTCTCTCTATCGGTGTCGGTAAGCTACTTTCAATTTCTTGTTCTGAAAAACTCTCTATTTGTGCACTGGGAAGGTCGAGATCACTATCTCTTAAACTGAACCACCATCCAGGTCAACTACTCGGTTTCTCAGGGCCATGTTCGCCATGATTAACAGTTTGGACAAACACTTTACTGACCTGTTGTAGTAGCAATGAAAGAAGTCTTAAAATAGTAGGATTATCACTACCACTTATCCACAGCATTAAATGATGGTGACGTTGCTGATGTTGAAGCGTTCATCTTCGAAGTCTCGCGTCTAGATGAAACTTGGGTGTCGTGACGAGACGTCGTAGTGTCTTCTTTCCCTCTACGGTTAATCACTTGTCGCCACATTTTTTTTCTATTTTGCCACGTTTCCTGCATCCATCGTGCCAGACGTTGGTGCACCACTGCCACACCCAAACACATATCAGCTAGCTATCGGTCAGCAGAATCATGAGATCTCCTCATGGGATACTGGGATGCATTTAACGTGACACATTCTTGGAAAAGTTACTTATAAAAGGACTTTATTGAAATCTTTAGTAATACACAGTGGCATTGAAATGCGACTGCTCTTGATTAGGAATTGACCGTTAGTGACGCCAACAGTTTATGGCGTGGGGTGGAGCGAACCAAAACACCTCCAACGGAAATCTCCACTAGGCTGAACAGCCAGCCCATTGTTCTTTGTGAAATTCAAGTTTCTAAACTGACTTCCTTGAAAAATGTCCGGCTACAATTGTGATGATTGTTATTCACCACTGATCGGAGAAGTTGCTAAAAATATTCCTTCCATCTATTTTTAATTTCTGCGTTGTCACTGATTATTTTTCTCTGTTTATCTTTACATAAATTGGTCCTTGGTTTGAAGCCTTCCTTATAGAATTTAACTTCTCTAAAAGCTTGCTTTATGTTATTTTCTGTAAAGTTGCTCTCTTTAAACCTACCTATTCATTATATCTTACATTATTATAAGTTCTACTAGTTGAATAACTACAGGTCCGGATTGTATTGACCGGGAAAGATTTTACAAGAAAAAGTAAATTATATTGCTGAAGGTCGGAATGAGCACTATATCCATAACATGATCAGAGGTTGTCAGATCAGTCACAATGGAGACGCCAAAGCTGTTACTGTTTCTGCTGAGCTCATTTATCTGCGCGGACACTCTCAAACTACGTAAGTATAACTCACCGTTCAGGGCCAAAGAACTAGTTCAGAAAAACATTATAAACTTTAATGAGAACGATATTTTGCGTACATCATTCAATACAATGTGTGGTTAGTAAAGAAAAATGGGGAGATGCTTATTCATTAATGAGTCTTGGTATAAGTGCGGAATATGGAAGTACAACATTCGAATGCGTCATTTGAAAATTGTTATTATCCGCTTTCGGATATCAGAAAATTCAGGATAGTGGGCTGAATTCAAACTAGGAATTTATTAATTCCCGTCTGCGATTTGTAATTCCTATCCAATCCTATGAGCCGTACCAAATTTCCAGGTATCCACAGTTTAAAAATTAGCATGTTTGTTACGACTCAGGGTGAAATACTAAACTACCTTTTATTTGCAAGAACATAACTAAAAGTTAAAACAAGTTTATTTTAAGTTCAATGATTGGAATTTCACATTCATCACTTATTTATATGGACACAACCGCCAATACGTTTTTGACGTAAATACGTCTATATTTTCGGGACAGTGTCATTCGGCAAAAAGTGAAACGAAAAAGTGTAACAAAAAAGTGAAACGAAAAAGTGTAACTGCATTGTTATGTTACATTGGAAACGTCAATTGTTTACTCGGCATTATTGTTACCAAGGAAACGTCATCTGTTTACTTGGCATTGTTGTTACCTATAAAACATTTCATTACATTACCTTACATTACCTTACCTTACCTTACCTTACCTTACATTACATTTCATTACATTACATTACATTACTTTATATTACATTCAGCTACCACAGACCCATCTTAAGCGTAACTAATTCAAGTTGAATAAGCAATGTCTTAATCAAACTCATCTCAATTGTAAAGCATGTATAAAGGAAATATTTAGAATAAAGCCAATATATAAACTTCCTTTCCGTATAGACGTATTTACGTCTAATTCTCCGGAACCGTGGTTCCACTGTCACTTTTTCTCTGTAGTTAATTTTAACAGACACTTCACTTAAGGACCTAACTAACTCCATAAAGAAGAGTCTTTCTTCAGAAGATGATGGACGGTTAGCCTCTCAAGATACCACGCTCCTCTTATGGAACCCGAATTTCATTCTCGTGTTTAAAATAACGAGCTGCTGGGTCCTATCTTGAGAAAGAGGATTCCAGTCAACACACTTCACACAATATTTCTTTGAATCCTCAGATCTGAGGCTATCTCAAAAAGAGGACCCAAGAGATAGGCTTTCCGTCCTATTCACTTTTCTTCCTAAAGACGGAAGCAGAATCCACTTTCGAGACTTTATAGTTTATTTCAATTTTGTAGTTTAGACGATTGACAGAGTCCAAAAGAACAATTTTACAAACATTTAAAGTGCTGCTACATATATTGATGAAACTGGATATGCAGCAATTCAGTCATAAAAGTACTATCATGTGCACATTATATCAATGTGAAGAGCTTAATATTGAAGTACCAAAACACATTCTTGGCCCTACCTCGGTAAGTACTTTCCTAACTAGGTTTTTATAATATAACAGAAGTGTTCAGAAAGTGTGCTCCATTGAACGCGTTGCCCAAGATCGATTTCTCTGCCTTTTCCCTGATGCATACGTATACAGCAGATTATCTGCATGAGTACATGAAACAAATCGTTTTACTGTCAGATGCAAGTGTAAAACCGCGCTTTCTAATTTTTTGAATCGTGTGTATAATAAAATGCAGTAAATATAGTATTTTTACATCTGCGTAGAATAATTTAAACAATTGGATATTCGGCCACGATAAACGGTTTAACATCAGGTACAGTCGAATTAAAACCCGTTCATTATTTTTTTTAAAAATAACCTTACATATATTGGTTTACTGGTAAAACATCAAACATAAAAGTCTTTTCAGACAATTAGTAGAAAAATGTTCACGTTCCAAGGCCGATGAGTTAAAATGTTTTATAAACTAAAAATAAGTGGACCGGTTTTTTTATGCAACAGCTGCCAATTTTGATTAATTGGTTGTTTTGGATTATATAACTACACGAATCGAAGTTTTGCCTCAAAGAGTCATCGGAATTCGTTGCAATAAATTATTTCGAAAAGTTGTTTTTATTAGAAGAAATTCTTTTGGCATAGTCCAAATTTACCTAAAAATATCAATGGTATCATGAGACTTTGTCTTCCGGCAGTCTATTATATGATTTAAATAAAACACAAGCGGCACAGATGGAAAATCACAGGGTGTTTGTCTAAATCTAAGGTGAAAAACAAGCTGTTTCCAAGGAATAACCTATTAATCACTGATCCACTGTCATATGAATCTTCACAAGCTTTAGGCAACTGAAGCCATAACGAGAACTTCTCTATCTGTCGTCCCTTCTTGTGGCCATAACGACACTAAATAATGTATTAAGCATAAAACAACCCATAGCCAGGCTGTTTCCTTGTTAGGTTACGGTATATGTTAGTGACTTCGTTGGAATTTACAAAATGTATTGCCATATTAAAATAAATTAATTAAAACGTCCGCGCCCAAAATCATGTGCGGATTAACTCGGCATTTAAATGTTTTAGTCCAAAAAATCATAAAATCAGTTCAGTCTATTCAATCCGATGTTTAAACCGAGAATTTTTGAATAAATTATAGACTGTTAAGGATGAATCTCTTGTCTCTTACACTTAAGTTTCGAAACAATCACACTGGAAGCTGATTTTACACCCGTTCCATTTTGTTCTGTCTTTAATTTCTGTTTCCTCCTTGAGATATTGGAAATCGATGAGTTATAGTGGCAGAATTTTTTTAACAAGCTGTGCCTTGTGTTTGTGGTAAAAAAGCTGAGACGTCGTCTTCAAGTTGATACCTTTAGAACAAAAACTGGTCCAGTTTCTTAGAATTTTTTGTCGGTATAATGATAAAAACTCCTCGTTAGGTTTTGGAGCTGTCTATACTCTAGACTCGTTGGTAAATGTCCATTTTCAGGGTTTACGATGAAGACTGCATATTTCTGCGAAACACTGACCATCGCTGACGGGTTTACACGGAGCCAAGCCCCAGAAAAACATCATCATCCTCACCGCCTTGAAAACCTCAGATTTCACAATAGTAACTTGAATGACACATAATCCATAGATTAAAAGTGACCTAACTCAAGCAGACTTTTAGGTGTGTCTTTGTCACTTTGGTTCTGAGAACCTTACGTCAAACTAATGATGTAGCACGCACATCAGAATTCCTTACTCCCCAAAACTCTCAAGTTCACTGATGTTATTATAGAGAAAATATACTTCTTTATGCGCAATATTTGTGTAGATGGAGCACGATCAAGGAACATTTTCTATGCCGTCGTACACGAGATAGATCTTTCGTGGTAAGATTTTTCAAATTCACTGACTACAAAAAGTCTTAAAAAACAATATCGAAATTATAATAGGTTGTAAAAATTTACGTTAATAATAATACGGTCAACGACAAGCTGAATGTTTAAACGTGATCAAGGTAATTACAAATATGGGAATCTTCAGATAATATACCAAATTAACGACAAATAAAAATAGTCCAGCTTCTGTTTCTTGTAGTGTACTGAATTTTTTATGTATCAGTTAAGAGGTTAAAGTGACCTTCACGTAATTATGTATTTATTTACTAGCTCAGTATCTCCAGTCGAAGTTCACAGGAATAAACTTCTTTTGAGCTAAAGATCAATACGGTGTATTGTAGAACTACATATTTGACAAATTCATTTAAAGCAGGACACTTATAACATTCCTTTAAAACACTGACTGAATATAAAAGCATTTTCACGTTGACTGAAGACAGATTTATCACCAAAAAACCGACAGCCGGAAACTAGACTCCTGTCAAACGCTGACTCCGCCAGATTCAACCACTTGCACTACCACTGATTCGTTTGCATTTTTTGCTGTCAGAGTCGCCAGCGTCAGAACTACATTTGAAGTTTTCCCCAGTCGCACTCGTCCAGTCATGTGTGACGGAAACTGAGTGATACATTTGGGGTAGTTAGTTGATTTAACAATGCTGCCGATAGCTCAGATTATATAACGTCGAATTATAAGACGATTCGTGAATAATGAATTGGAAGGCGTGCGAAAGAACGCTGTCATTGCCTAATTTAAAGTACTATTTCTGCGTTTGCTAAAGGGGAGCGAAGATATTCACCGAAGCCTCAGTCAAGAGAGACTGTCTCCGGGCCGAAATTTGAACCTTTCATTTTCCGAACACTAAACCATTTCAGTGCAGTCTCCACCCTCAAATTCGCTCAAGACTATAAATCGACTTAAGCCTATTTCTTCCGTACTAAAATTCTGTACTCACTTCTCATCTTTAAAATTTGCGATGTGTCTCCCACCCATCTCATACTCCTTGATTTGTCAGTCATATCACAACACCTACAGATTAAAGATTTTAGATAAACAAATGTAAGTGCTGTGTAGGAATGCAAGTGCTACCTTTTTTCTTTCATGAGGGTCATTTGTTTCAGCTCCTTACATCAAGCCGTGTTCCCGTAATGATAAGGAATTAAACGCTTGCGCTACGAAACATGCCATAGAAGCAATTCCTCAATTTATAAACGGTAAGATATCTCTAAGAGCTGCATGTTCCTTACCATGTAGTCTGCCCGTTACATCTATGAGAATTACTGTCTAGCCACATGGTTAATTTCACCATTACAGGTAAGAGGATTTGTAAAGCGTAATATTATATTTGTTCATTTTCCTTATATATTTCATATCTTCACTTAAACGTATACAGTTCAAGTAATTTCAACCAACACATTGTAGTTCAATCAATAATATCATGTTTCTCAAACGTTGACCCGCGGAGCGAGTCTTAATTTGTACCAGTCCTTAAATTATAATTACATGACCGCTATAGTAATGGCTGTACCTAAATTTTACAACTGAGAAACATGTTTAACAAGAAATCGTACCTACATTACAAATTCATTTTCTTCTAAAACGAATAGTAACAAATTATTTCATATTCCCTACCACGTAAAATTAGTTTTGATTATTCAGTGTCTAACAAACATCATGAAAATCATGTACATTTTATTTTAATGTGTCATAAAGGTGTTAATTACTGAGGATGAAAATAAACGTGTTAGTAACAATTAGATTCGCAGAGAAATATTTGCAAAACAGATGAGATTCGGTTGTCAGAAACACATTGCTATTAATAAGATACCTTGAGAAAAGTGGCTCTAAAGCACGCGATTTTTTTTCTTGTGGGCAAGAAGCCAAATAATTTAAAGATCGAATGGAAATTTCTGTCGGTCTTCGTGTCGCTAATTTGAATGCAGTGAAATTGGCGGCTTGGGAGTCCAAGAACCAGACACCCGACGACACATGCGGCAGAAACGCAAGTATCCGTAAAAGATACAAAGACAAATGTGTATGCCGATACCTAAGAACTGGGGAGTAAATTGATATGAATTTAATGATACAATATGTATTTTATACCGACATGTCACGTAATTTCTTAATGATTCGAAAGTACTGAAAAACTGGAATCCGTCCATGCACAAAATCTCAGGAGACCTTTTGATTGGTTATTAGAAAGAAAGTAATGTATGAATAACCACAAAAGTCCCGTCGAACAATTAAGAATATAAGCAACGTTAACACAAAATTGCATCAATTATACAACTTTAAATGATATCAACAGTGCAGATTGGACAACCTTTAAAACAAGCAAGGCTAGAATGTTGTACACCTTGGGGCACGACAAAATGAGGATGGTGTTCTTTACTCCACATGACGGTCGATGTTAGTAGAGCAACATATGTTGTAACAATGTGATGAAGGACGCGATAAACAGACAGATACATAGGCGGGCCCATAAGTCATTCCACACTTAGATCAAAGTTTAAAGGGCATCCAATAAATTCTATGCGTAAATAATTGTGCCTGGATGAGACTATTTATTGGCGCAATTTATTAATTCCTAAAACCTATAAAATTTATCATATATCCATACGAATTTCACATAGATTTAGATCCTTACTTAAGAAGAAATTAGGTGAAGTGAAGAAACTTTGGATTCATTAATCCAGAGATAAGTCTGGAAGTGGAAGGCTACGTCTTAGCAACTGGAACTATACGTTAGCATCTTTGCTTTCTTCGATTTAAATTTGGCATTACGGCAGTCTGCACTGTTTTAAGTGACGGCATGAGATATCCATCACCCAATTTGTAGTAAAACCGATTATTCACCATAAGAATGGAGATAAATTGCTTAACGCTTTGGACAGAGCCTTATAGAGGCTAATGAAACGCTATGCTAACCTCCATCTGGAGAAGGGCCTCACAAGACATGACTACAGCAGATTTGCTTCATCACCCCAAAACAAAGGGAAATTTAGTTATGTGGTGATATTTTGGAAAATTCACTTAAATTTTATAAGTGATTTTCAACTTGCTAAAAGAAAAAATATATAAATGCAGTACATGTCAGGACGTTGTCTAACACAGACTAATTGGGATAACAGCTGTTCCCTTAGACAAGCAGGAAATTAGACATTTCTTAACCACGTGTCTAGACGGTATGCATTTCCCCCTAAATATGCGATCTAATGTGATTATCGTGACTAAACTTGCCCAAGGTTGTTTTCATTAACCTGCGTTCAGGAGTGAATTTACATATCTGCGAAATAGATTCTAGAGAAGGCAACATTTACAAGTTCCAGGCAACAAGAACAGGACTGCCTACGAACGGGAACATAACCTTGAAAGTTATATAATGGGCCCCCGAGGCATTATAAAGTAGTTTGAATTTTCTGGAAAACTCAGCGACATTTTTTTTTCTCAAGAAGGACTCTACTGCGTTCTATTTGATCAAGTATTCAAACACGTGTGCATACATGTAGGTATAGGCCTATACATATTTTTTGCGTGTATACCTACGTACGTAATTTATTTGAGTATAAATATATTTATGTTTAATACTCGTATGAATATGTTTATGAATTTATTTTAAATGGTGGTGCAATAACTTCAGCCAACATTTAGCTAACAAAATTTTCCAAATAATATTGAACCCACAATCCTCTGCTTTCAGTTTGTGCTTGAATCAGTATGCCTATTATAACTGAATTATAATTTATGCATTGTCTTTCAACTGTTTAGGGCCGACGCTTCCTGATGGATCCACAAAGAATCTACAAAACTGCAAGGGACAAGACGCCACACGGGCGCGGCGTCCCCTCTCAAACTTACTATTCTCTTATTCGTAACAATTAAACCTCTATCTTTCTGAAAGCGCTATAACAAAGAACTAAGTTTCTTTATCTGTAACACTTTCACACAAAACAACAATCTGAAGGAGAATACACACAATTACAAATCCAAGAGCTTAACTAGAACTCTTTACTAAATATTTATCTAAAATATATAAAATCATGCATACAAACAAAACTGTTCACACTTTAAAAAAAAGTGTCAAACGCGTTTTGACCTCATGAGGTCATCATTAATGGCAAAAACATTAATTCATTAGTGTGGTATTACATAAATTATGGTTTTATAAAGTGCGACCCCTTTATGCTCAGTGCTTCATAACAAACCATAGTCTTATGAATTGTCTGATTTAATAGACAGACTAATGAATTAATTCTTGCCACTGATGATGACCTCATGAGGTCGAAACGCGTTTAGCACCAAGTGTTTTCTAAAGTATAAACACTTTTGTTTGTATGCATGATTTATATATTTTAGATAAATATTCAACACTGCACGGTATGCAAGGTTTTAAGATTCTTTACTAAAAATTACGACGGTAAACGAATCATGTATGATGACATGGTGGGGCACGTAGCATGCATGGGAGATACAAAAACTGCTTACAAAATTGCAGAGTGAAATTTTGAAGAGAAGAGACAAATTGGGTAACCAAGGTGCAAAAGAAAGCCGGAAATTTCTTGCCGAGCTGGGTGACTATCAGCCTATGAAGAACGATTCTGTTCAATGGAGTCAGCAGTGGGTAATGTTTTAAATCTCTGCGAATAGTGTCTAAATTCCTTGGGAACAGTCCACTTAGAGAAACTACAAAGCAGGGAAACAATATTAGAATGGCGTATTAGAAAATAAGTTACAGTATTATCCATCAGATATTAGATTCAATATTTTTCATGTTATGAGGACATGATGTGCAACTGTTCGCAGGAGACCCGAAATACAGAGTACCCCGCTTGGAACCACTCCTGGTAGACGAGTTGTCCGTACAACAGGGTTCGTCCAGCTTCGGCCTGTCTTTCGTAGCAAGAAACTCAACCATTGCAGGAATCAAGGAAGTGCAAGTCAAGGACATCAGGTAGTCTTGTGTGCTATAGGCACAAACAAATTTCTACGAAAAAGTAACAATTTCACTACAAAGCAGTGACAGATGAAATCGACTTAGGGTTTCCCTCGGAATTGAAAAGTACAGGAACACTATACCAGTGAACAGAATCGTTCTTTTGAAGCTAGTGGTCTTTTAGTTAGTTAAAGTATCTCCACTTGTTAAGGACCTGATAGTTCATTACCGTGGACCCTTTCCTGATCACAAACTCTTAAACGCTATTTCTTTAAGAACACTTTTATATTAGCTTCCTACCTAGAGTTTGAGTAGGACTCATTGACGAACAGAAAACACCATAGCTGCCGGTAATCAAATCCCACATGCTCAATGTAACTTTTTTGACTGATTCTTTGTAATACGTTACATTTAATTTTCAATGTTATCATAACAATTAAACAATTTTTGCACAAATAAGAGAAAACAAATTAAGTTGTGATTTCATATAAATCTCTAGATTTTTTCAATAATCATAACACAGTCACTACTGCATTGACCATTCAAATTTTAGTGGTATAGCACAGTAGATTCAACTAAACTTACAGGCTAGTATTCCTCCGTTATTAAATTCGTTTATGGGTCCCAAAAATGTTCCTCTCTGAGATGCAACCTCACAAATACTTGTGGTAACCGAAACAAGTAAAACAACAGCACCATGATGACTCATATGTGAAATGTATTCCATAGGTATGCAAATATATATAACTAACGTTCAGCAATCAACCACATGCCCAATCTACGGCATGAATCATGCGATGGGCTAAAAAATTCTTCGATTATTCAAAATTAAACTATATTCAAATTATTAAGTCCGTATAAACAATTTTTTCTTGATGCATTATTTCAGAATGCTCTGAAATAAGGTGATGTTTTATTGGCATTGTTTTTAAGCTTCGTTTTAGCATGTGAGTACTTTAATACTAATGTATTCCTTACAGATTCGACCTGAGCAAGCAGCACGCCGAGTTCGATTTGCTCTTCCCGGTTCTCACCATCCATTGTCGTTACAACGTGTCAGGCAAAGTGCTGATTCTTCCTATAACAGGCTACGGGGACGGAGTCCTGGTCCTGAGTGAGTTGGACAATGGCGTGGAGGGGGGGGGGCTGCCATGTTCTCTGTACAGATTGTGCCCTCATTTCAAAACTTATTTATTATATTCACCAACTTCGTGCACTGATGTTGTATTTTTGTCAGTCCACACTACCAGACCACTGGAAAAGCAAACATCATAGACTTTCGAAAACTTTTTACCTATCCTCTCAAGACACTGCACAGTTGGCACAGACAATGTGAGGAGCCCAACGTTTATCCTGGTCACCTACTTCGCACCAAAATTAGAGCTCGTATGCTTTCTTAATTTTCGGTTAAATTTTATACTATAGTCAAGATACATGTAATAAAAATTGTCTAAGTAATTTACGCAATTTCGAGGCATAATAAAGCTCTGTACACAATCAATCACTGATGTAAGCACACTGAAATGTTGGAAAGGAATTAACTGGTAAAGATCAGTATAGTGCGTGTGCAGGTTTAAACTTCTACCACAAGAGAATGATGTCGTGCGAGTTCTGCCCTGCTGAGCGGACATATAGCTTCAAAGTTATATTTTTAATGTCATTCAGTTAAATTATAAAATACGAACAGACAAATAAGATTGACAGCAATGAACAAGGCAGTCCTATAGCAATAATTAAAAAACCTTTTTTTAATTTGTGGGTGACGGCAAAATTATGCTTTTTTAATTTATTATCAGTAATAAAAACACACTGAAATAATGTAGTATACATTATTAAACAAAAATTGTGTATATCAGTGCTGTTAGCGCCAAATGTGTGGAAATAGAATGGCAAAAACTTACTCTGTTATTCTTGTCCTTAGGTTTATTTTTTAACTGGAGTTCAATGTGGATTTTAGCCGTGTCGAATCTTAAGAATTACCAAATGTTTCGGCAAACGTTACAGTTACCACCTTCAGGGTAATTGTGCAGTGGTTGACCGTTTCTGAGAGAAGACAGTGGGTGACAAGTTCAATTTACTGGTGCTGATTGGCGGAGTGAAAGAGCATGCTGCTTCCAGCCACTACACATTCACCCTGAAGTTGGCAAATGCAATATTTGCAGAAACATTATATAATTATCAACATCTGATATAGTTCATCTCTGAAAGCCAAAGTTACACTATTTTATTTTGTTGTCTCTACTCATCCAGAACTTGCTTAACTATACGAGTTACCTGAATAGATTGTTTACTGAAATATACATTTGTCTGACCCATTTCCTTTACAAAATAGTTTGAAATAAAGACATACTGCACCATTACACCACTGTTTTTTAACTTAAAATATGCTATTAGGGAAGGCCTAAGTCGTCAGGAGGGATTGGAACTGAATGGGACACATAAATTTCTTGTTTAAGCTAATGATGTTAATTTATTGGCCGAGAAAAACACACGTGCTCTGTTAGAAATACGTACGGAGGTTGTCTGTTACTAAAAGAAGAAAATTCCACATGGGAAAATATCTTCTTATCCCGTCACCAAAATGAGAAATCATAAATGTGGCTAATAAATCTTTCGAAGTTGTTGACCAAATTCATATACTGAGGAAGACAGCAACAAATAAAACTTAAGTCCGAAAATAAATTAGGAACAGATTAAAGGGGAATGTCTGCAGAATACTTTCTCTTCGCGTAAGACGCAAAGGTTAAATAATCAGAACATTAACCTTGCCTGTTGTTTTCTTACTGACATGACACTATGTCTCTGAGGTAGAACATGTACTGAGAGTGTCTGAGAACAAGATGGTAAGAAAAATCTCTAAATATAAGTGAAAGTAACACGTGGATCGAGAGAACTGCTTAATGAGTTTCACACTCTGTACTTTGACATACACCAACAGTAAGCAGCTGTTTTTTATTTATTTTTTCCCCTTTTTTGCAGAGGGCGTCGACGTGAAGATCAACTACAATTTCGAAACAGTACGGAGAAAAGATAAAATATACGGACAGCCAAGGGACTTCAAATTGTATTTCGACATTCAAGACATGACTATCCATCTCGACAATCTCTTCAACGGGGACAAGTTTTTGGGTAAGTGGTTAACGCTACTACTGACGTAAAGAGTGTGCAAAACTGCAGATGCACATCCTGTTTAGGCAGAGAGATATAATCAGTCGTAAGTACAGTAAACCATTTTCCAAAGCGGGTTTGTCAAAGTCGGATTCCATTATACGCGAGATATAAATCTGAACAATTATTTTCATAAAGCAGAAAATGAGATTACACGCGGTCTGTCAAACACTCCATAGGTAGAGAACACTAAAAAATACCACTGCTGATTAGAAAGATGAACACTGTTTAGCTTTTGCTTGTGTATTTATTTTATCAACTTGGTGTGCTCTATTCAGCAAATGTAAGAGCGTAAATATTCAGTTCAACTGTCATCTCGCGGCCTGTTTCTCTTTAGCTTTTACCGTACTAACTCGTGTCATGTTGTATAAAGTGAATCTTTCGCGGCGAAGTTGATGAAAGACTCTCGGGTTACGAGCCGCGTCAGGTGGCTGAATGGTGAACAAACTATATCTTCTGCCAAAGTTTCGAGAGCAATCTCTGCTCTCATCCTTAGGGCTGATGGGAACTTCCCATCGGTGAACGCGCTACAAAGGACCAGATTTGTTACGCAGCAACCCTGAGGATGACAGCAGATTTGCCCTAGAAACGTTTGCATAAGATATGGTTTATTCACCATTCAGCCACTTGACGCGGCTTGTAACCAGGGAGTCTTTCATTGTGTCATGTTGTTTTCCTTATTTTATTGTGTATGATAGTAAGCTTTAACAGCATTATGGAATGAAAACGTAAATATTGAAACGATAATAAAATAAATATAAGTTGTAAGTCACATTAGATGAGAAAATAAATGTTTTCTGTATGGTGCGCGGTGGTATGAGCGCAGCAACAGTTGGCTAAACATTTCGTTAATATTTGACTTTCCGATTATACTTTACTATATTACACAGCAAGTTCATAAATATATATCATTACGGTATATTTCTAATTTTCTTTATTTGCTTTGACATCACACAGCCGCGTTCCCCTATCTCCATTAATCTCGTACACTATTAACTTCAACCAACGCGGATTCAACAAAGGCGCAGCTTTTGAGAAAAGTATCTCCCGCGTTGGACGAGGGTTTACTATATATAAAATCTGCAATCACTGGTACGGGAGTATATCGCAGCTACTTCTTACATTTCTATCAAGTTAATGTAATCTGCATCGTCTTGTCTTATATTCCTAGACTTATAACAGTCACCCCGATATATTTTCAATTTCCCAAACGTTGAATAGCAGAAAAGAAATAGGTATATTATTATACCATGTAGAATATTTTGTCTGAAAATTTTATGTGATAAAATGGGTGTATAAAAATGGCAGTTCGAAATTTTCTTTGTCGTGTTTTGTAACTGTAGCAAATGTAAAAGAAATTTGCCTGAAAAGAAACATCAACAATAAGATTTCTGTTAATAGTCACTCACAACTGTAACGTACACAACGTTCTGTTTTGTAACAGCTTCCGTTTCGTCTCTCTCAACTTTCCTTTCGACAATTCCTTACCTTTAGAACTTGCAAAACTTAAAACGGTTCTTAAATATGTTCAGTATTACTACTCTGGAATATGTTTCTATAAGACATGACTTCCCGTTGTGTTTTAATTTAATTTGATACATGAAACAAACATCCATTTCTTAATAAGATTGCGGGGGAGGGGGTTCGTACGGCAGTGGCAGACACGCTCGGACGCAGTCAAAAGTTCCTTACCCCAACGAAAGCAACTAAGTGTGAAACTAGTAATTTCGGTTGGTACCTATGATAATTTTAAATTTGTTGTATTTCTTTGTTCTGTGGCGACAAAACAACGGGAAATGTTAATTTATAGTTAGAGAGGAAATTTCTCGTGAAAAACTATTATACAAATCACGGAATGCAGCGGTCGAGTTTAACCATCCTCCGTATTCGAGAGATCACATGGGCTTAGTTTGTACAATTTATGATTTCTGCTTCTTCCTTGTTTATGCATAACACATTTTACTCATTGCTTTCACCGTTATTTTAGTTTCAGGACTCCTCAACAACAAAGACGATTCTATATCAGAGTTGTGAGCTGTACATCCAAAAACAATACGTTCATGTAAAATATGTGTTTTTAGTTAGGGTCTTTCTTAATGCTTCAATTTGATGGACAGAATATATAGCAACAGCAGCAGCCGAAGGCCATACGCCAAATTTCCTACCGCACAGTGACATTATTATTATTCCATCTATTCACCACTTTATGGGGTATGTACTTCCATGTACCCGAGACAGACCTTGTCTCTAAGGTACATAGGGCAGCACCTACTTCCGGGATCCATATTGTTTTTAGCAAGTGCCAGCTAGTACAATACATGTGACACCAAACTACTTCCTTCATTTCTTCTCTTGTCCAAGCCACTCTTGTTTTTCTTGATTGATTTTCTTGTGAGTCTTGGGCTTG